TAGGTCATCATTTAACTTGTAATTGAGTGCACATTTGTCCCGGTGCAGGATTTTGCCTGCGCTATGTTCAATGACCTTGGACTGACCTGAGGCCTCCATCCAGGTAGCTTTGCAGTTACACAGCAAAAACTGAGCAGCTTCATCAAGTGGTGCCCCTCTGTGCGCACGTGTTTACACACACATGCGTCGTCTTTCCTTCCATCTCCTTCTCTCCCTCCTCTTTTTCCATTTGGTTCTGCTTTGCATTTTATTTGCAATGTATTGTCCTGTTGTGAGTATTGCTCATGGATATTGAGTTAAGGTTCACCAAGGAGTCTGTCTGGCATTGAAAAATTAAAATTAAATTTTCTGTTTTTCGCACTCTCAAAGCCCTTTATTATGAGCTAGGGTTTTTGCTCCAGGGTAGTAGGATGTTGGGAAGAGCTGAAATATGGCACTGCTGAGAATTAATTAGTATAAAAACTGCACTAGTACCCAAATGCGTGCTGATTACCCCACCCTCAAAGGCAAATGTTTTTGCAGTTTAGGTCATAAGTGAAATAAGCATGTTGAATCTCACTTCACTATGTCACACTCTTACGGACTTTCTTCTCCACCTCAGTGGTTTCCTCTAGATGCGTGAATTGTGTCCTGTTGAGAGCTGGGCAAAATATGTCTGGAAACAGCAGCTCCCTCCCTTCCTCTCCCCCAGAAAATAAGGGAGTTGTCTTGCAAACACCAAACCGATTTATTTCAAAGTGTTTCAATTTGGCAGATAGCAACAAGAGGACTTTAGTCTACTCACAGTGAGGAAGGCGGTATCTCATTTTAAATCTACAAATTGGACTTGCTGTACATGAGGGATCTGAGTTTGTCCTCTCTGCTTGCTGCGGAGAGATACGAGAGACTTCTTGCACATCCCAGGCATGTGATTTCTTTTCCTCTAAGAGTCCCTACAACACTGGCTTTGCTTCCACACTTAAATGATTCACACACTAAATTGAAGAATCAACTCTGATTCTGGTTATGATGTGGTCTTTAATTAGCTAAGGAAAATAGCAGCCTCTCTGCTCTTGAATTCCTTTGCACTTCCCAAGGATATGGTAGTGGTTAAATACCCTGCCAGTCTGGAGATGAGCAGCTTTCGGGGTTTGTTGGATTCAAGAAAGGAATGACGTGAGAAAGCCCTATCAGGTGAGGACCCTGCTGTATGTAACCGAAGACTTTTGTCTTTTGTGGCCTCCAATCCTCTCCTACTGTTTGCAAAACTTACTTTCTGTCTTTAGTTATCGTTACACTTCAGCAAGGGGAAGAGAGATCTCATTTTTGCTGCAGAGCACCCAGCTCTGTGGCACCTAGGCCTTAATGACAGGCAAGGGATGAAAGCTACAGGAGGTACTGCCTTCCCTTCCTGCGTCCAGTTCCGTCTGCCCAAAACCGTGTCCCAGTTCTGGCTGACGGCTTGGTATGACCACTCGCCCCTTCATCCACAGGACACGTTCTACACCCTTGTAAAACCTCTTGATAGCTTTGTGGTGCAAAACTGTGTGATATAAATCCAAAGGGCATTCTTTAAGGTAAGGCTGTAAAATGTACGCAGGGCCCATCCCACTTTGCCTCTTACTATTTCCCCTGTTCCTTTGCGGGCACCTGCACAGCATCAGGGAAAACTGGATGCATGTCCCTTCTGAAACAGAGTCCTATTCCAGACATTTAGTCTTGGGGAAGATGAAGCTCTGCCTCCCTGTGGGGAAACAAATCCGGCTAACCACGTAGCGCAGGGTGGGGGTAACGCCAGCGCGTTGCACGGTAACGGCTCGACAGTGTTTCCTCGTGGCCTCGCCTATTAAACGTGAGCATGTACGTGACCAGGGAAGGGCCCAGCTGCAAAGCCCTGTGCTCTGCCCCGAGCTTGTGTAACAACAAAGAATGCCTCTTCCTCTGACAGCCAGGTAAGCCCCTGCTCTGATGTACAGCTCTGGCAACTGCTTTGCTGCTGGGGCTATGAGCCTATCACCCGGTTTTCTGCTTGCCAGCCCAGAGCAGCCATTGGGCTGCAAAAAGAATCCAAAATGCTGCATCACTTGTTCTTCTCTCTGCCATAAAGTCACTTGTGCACAGTTGAAGCAACCTTCTTTGGTCTGGATTTCACTTCACTTTGCAGCTACAGGAAGAGTCACAAACTACTCGGGTTACTTACGGTAAAAGCAAGTATGTTTTCCTGGTACGCATTTGGGTCTATTCTTGTCATGTGTGGTTGCTCTCAGAGCAGGAGGTGCTGCAGCCCCCTCTGTTCGCCCCTCACCCTTCCAGTTGGAGCAGGGCTGTATGCGGCGCTTCCAAGCGACGTGTTTCGCACCAGGCAGCGAGTTCAATAAGCTGCTGAAATTTGCTAGATCGTACATGGGGCCGGGGTTTGGGGTTTTTTCTGTCTCTGTGCAGTTGCTGGTGGAATGCGTTTCCCAAGCCCCCATCTGCAGGCCTGTTTATTTTCTCTCCTATAAACCTCTTCTTTGTTATCTTATGCAAGATGGAGAACAATGGGGAGCAATGGTCTGAAGCTGAGCAAAGCGGGGGTAAAACTAGGCTAGACGTCAGTAGCAGTTTCATAACTGATGGAAACGAGTATGGGAGTATTTGCCCCTGGGAAGAGGCTGAATCTTTTTTCATCAGACTCAAATGAGGCAATGCAAAGGAGGAGGAGGATTCTATTAAAATTAGAAGGGGGATGGGAGGGCAGGGATTTGCTGGCATGACTTGGGCTGGAGGAACTCTCACAATCTGTCCTGCCTGTTAACTCGGGACAGATTGAAGACTTGATTACAGGGTATTTCCTGTTAGAGAGGCTTCAGCGTATCATCTTCCTTACTCACACGTACAAAGTCACCTGATTTATTAAAACCTCAGGTGCTGCCTAACCTCTGGGGGGGATGTCTGGAAAGAGCAGATAGCTGTGAAGGTGCTGGTGTGAGCATTTAAGCTGAGCATTAGTTGACATTTGCAGTGTAGAAAACGAGAGCTTTGCCAAACTGGGCCTGAACGTTGGCCATGGCCAGAGACCTGCACCTGGTCAAGTTACAGTGCAAAAATTTATACAGTGCTACTGTTAAGCAGCTGAGCCCCGATAGCTCTATTTAAGGCTTGTACTTATGAAGCAACTGGAATAACACGTTGGCAATGGTGGTAACTGTGCTCCTCTCTGGCACTTGGATTTTGTTCAGGTTTTTGGCCAGGATCTCAGCTGTTCGCAAAGGGGCAAAGCAGGGCTCTGATAGTGGTTCTGACCACCCCTGGGAGCAGAGCTCCACCTGACCTTGGGGTTGTACTTATATCTACACCAGCAGATTTCTAATGTGTCTTCTTCCTCCTCAGCTATACCTCCCCCACCTTTTTTTATTTTCCCCTCAGGTCCAAGTGGGTAATAGACTAAAATGGGAATTGCCCTTGAGTAACCTCCAAGCAGAATGCTCTCTGTGACATAGCTTTATAAATGGATTTATAAATGTTATGTGAAGGCCACCCCTGGCAAAGGGGCCTGACTTCTCTAGTGGTGTCCCCTGAGCTCATCCAGGGCTGTGTTGGCACTAGACTTATTCGGGAGCCTTGCCTGCTCCTCCCATGAAATGGTCAACCCTGTAGCTCTGTGCCTCAGCTCTGAGGAGCACACCCTGACCCAACAGAAGTGTCTCCATGAACTGCACACTCTGGTGTCTTCCTGTTCCAGTCACTCCAGGGATAATGAATAGCAATGGTAATAAACACAAGCAGATGCTATAGACTGAAGATTATGTATGACCCATTTTCCAATGGCAATACACGTTTTAGTACACGAAGTACTCTTTCTGTGTATGATTTAGTTTCTTCTCCAATACCTCACTAGTGTACCCCCTCTGTGGCAGAAAACTGGAGTGCTTGGGCACAGAAGGGAGGGAAAGTAGCCTTCTGCAGATGTGGGTATAGGCTGACGCACCTACAGGCTGCAAAACTTGTTGAGCAAACAAGTGGTCTGAAAAAGAAATTCATGCTGAAGGAGTTAATCTTCCTTACTCTGGTGTCCATGCTTCTACCCCCATGTTTCAGAAAGCTGAGGATGGATTGAAGGAAATGTCCAGGTTTCAGCCCAGCTACTTCTGCCCGATTCCTACCTTTTCTTGGACCTGCCAGTGTTCTGCAGTCTCAAAGCATGGTAGAAAGTGGTATTTAACAAAATACAACTTTCTCCTCCTTTAAAACTTAGCTTCCTAATTCAGTATTGTCTTGGACAGGAGTTTATACAAAAGCCTGTAAGAATTTTGAAGTGAACAGAAATTTTCTTGGGTGAATATCAGTTTGTGGAGCAGGAAAGAAGTTTAAGGGAGTTTTAATCTCATGAGATGAGGCTCTCACTAGTGCTAGCTCCAGGCTGGCTCCAGGTTGCCTATGCAACGCTAAGCAATACCATCCTTGTATAGCAGCTCAAATATAGATGCAATATAGTCATACGCTCTCCTGTGTTTTGCTGAGGTGGGGGGGGGGGGCGGGATATGAACATGCTTATAATGCTCTAGGGCTTGAACTAGTTGCATGTGGAGCCAGTGGGGGTGTACCTATGGAATGCAGCTCATGTATGCAGCTGAAGAATACTCTGGTCAGAGCGAAACAGGCTTCACTGCATGAAGTGGTGAATATATCTATATCTATCTATATATCAATATACATTTGTGCATATATATATCTCAGATCCAATTAGTTCCCTACTCCTAACTTTCTCTCACTTGAGCTATGAAACAAAATGATACTGCTTCACATCTACTGAAGCAGAACTTCTTGTTTCAAATTCAGTGAAGAATGGGCCATTGAGCGAAAATGATTTGGCTTGAACCAGTAAGCCTGTTTTCAAGAGAAATCTTCAATTTTATCAGCTATCAGTTTTGAAGTTTCAATGCTCAGAGTTCAAGCCTCCTAAGCCAAAATCAGAGATTCAATAGGTTAAATAGATTTGCTCTTCAGTAGCAATAAGAGACTGACAAAACAAGAGGAAGTAAATGTCATGTTTTTAATGCTGATTTGAACAGTCTCCCATGAAGTCAAAGCACCAAACATTGGGTCACTTTCAGCAAAGCCTAATGGCACTGAGTTAGGAACCTGCCTGGACACAGCTTGTTTTCAGTATTCATCGCTGAAGGGATACTCTGGATGGTCACGCCACCTGTGGAGAGGTCAGATTGAACAAATGAGCTTCTCAGGTGAAGCAGGATATCATATCACTAATGCAGTTGTCCTGTGCCTAGCAAACCTCTTCTCTTCCTTGCAGTATACAGGTGGCCTTCATGGAAGGCTCTTCTGCTTATTCAGAAGCTGCCTGCTCTGAATAATCTTCCCTGTAGAGTTGGGAGGCAAACTTGTGCATTTAAGGAGAGGACAGTGAAGGACCATTTTTCAGGCCTACAGACTGCATACCTGAAGGACAGATGGGGGAAAAAACAACAAGAGTTTGAATGTCAGCTATCCTCACTATATTTGTGGATTTAACTCAAGTTAGTATAAGTGTTGTAGGGAAGGGGGATGGCTTCACTATGTGCATTGTGGAAGGGGAAGATTTCTTTGTTCAGATGTCTAGAAAGACCCTCAGAAATAAGGGCTATATTTGAAGGAGAGGTAGAGACACCAAACTGTACTACTTTGGCTCATCCGCTTAAGAGCTGGCATGAACAGGTCTGGGTCTGGTATGGTGCTTTCTCCAAGTGGCTGCCATATCCAGGTCCGGCTGTCTTCCAGCTCCGCCCAGATGTAGATGCTCTGCCAGGTTAATAGCACCAGTGGCAGAGAATTTACAAAGAAGCTTTGGGGTGACCCAGTTCAGGGGAGAAAGGGATGTTCATGGCTGCATACTACCAAAGGTAGAGATGCTTCAGGCTTCCTTTTAAAAACTGCATGCTCAGGGAAGTTGCATAATCCAGGATCATTATAAAAGGCAAGAAAAAAATTCCCAGGGTCAACTGCAGGTGGAAAAATAACACCGTGTTTGCCCATTATTGACAGACTTGAGGGAGAGGTAGTTGGTTTTTGTTGTGGGTTTTCTTGTTTGTTTGTTTGAGAAGATGATGCTAAACCACAAGCCCTGGCTTGACAAACACTTTCCATTAGCAAAATCAAAAATTTCTGAAGAGCATTCTCAGGTGCACCATGGCAGCTGGCTGCCTTGCCTTACAGCAGAGCACAACAAATACTGGCATTTATCCCAGCTGTGAATTGTTCCAGCTTGGGAAGGATACATTTCACAATATTGAAGTTAACTAACTGGAAGGCATCAAACACTTTGAATTGGTTGTGTCAAAACATTTCATTCCAATATTCAGCCAAGCTGAAGTGTTTACACATTAACAGATTGAGTTGGTTCAAAAAAACAAGCCACAACACTTTGGCTTGTTTAGTTTCAGTATAACTTGACAATGTCTGAATTGCCAGTGTCACAATCTTTGCTTTCCATCTATGGAGCACACTTGCTAATCAGATCTCGCATGTTCAAAGATCTGAGTCCTTTGAGTGAAAATGATTCAGGGAGTCAATACAGCTTGGAATAACTGGTAAGGAAGAATATCCATGGCAGAGACTGGGAGTACAAGATAAATCAAGCAGACAGATTAATGTAAAACTGGCCCAGCACAATATTTCTAAATTTCTCCAAGAGGAGAAGAAACCATTTCAGACTGAGATTTCCTGGAATACTCATATTTTTACAAAATCTCCATTTTCTCCTCAGATGCTTAACTTGCTAACTCATTCCACTGATTGCAAAATCCTGTTCATCTGGGCTTACTCACACCATCAGAACAACAGATTTGCACACAGTACCCATGGTAGCTGATAACTCGAAGAGCCAAAGAAAGCTGGATTTTTCCATTCCTACTGGCATTTGCATCACTGTGGATGAAGGTTTTGCACAAAGTTGACTAACTTAGAAGTCTTTCTGTATGATGGTTTGACTTTTTTCAGATATATATTGCTGGATGAAATAAGAAGTCTCTTTAGGCTTGGTAACTCATCTGTTGCAGTGTCAATTCCAGACACTTCAGTGTGAGAACACATAGTAGGCAGATAAATGTTTAGCTGCTCCTTGTATGGCAACATAACTTTACCGAAAAGGCTTTTTTCACAGTTAAGGTCAGACTGTATTTAATTTCCCCAAACATGGCACTCCTGTGAAAAATAGAGCTGGCAATGTCCATTCTGTGCATGCTGTTTTCCTTGCCCTCAGTGGCCTCCTGTGACCAAAATTAGTCTAATAAAGCAAAGTATTTAGTTTATTAGTTTTTTGGATCGGTGGCTTAAATAGTTCTTCTCCTGTGTGCATTTGCATCCTTTAACTTTGCTTCTGGAAAAGGCTCTTGCATTTGCACCGAGGTTACATTCCATGTATATACTCACTAAAAGTTTAAATGGTGTTATAGCTCAACTTAGCTATGAAAACCCAAACAATTTCAAATACCAAAACACACATAAAAATCTGCTAGGTTTGTGAGAACAAAGTGCTGCTAATTTATGGAAGGCTGTTTTAAATTTTAAGAAATGAAAGCTTCAGAGCACCTGGCTGAGCTCAAATGTGAAAGATGAACTCCATTATGATGCTTTTAACTTAGTTCATATTTCTTATCATATTTATGCAGCACAGTAAGTGGTTTATTTGTTCCTTTGCAGCACTTCCCCCATCTTTTTAGCAATGGTCAATGTTTTAGAGTGCTATTGATGCTGCTATCCTGTTTTTCATTATTTTTAGTGCTTGAGCACACTACAGTTTGGCAAGTCACAGATAATCCAAGGTAACAAGAGAAATGCATGGAAATTAATCTGTAGCATTTGGCTACACATTGAGTGCCCTGAAAAGGGGAAAGCATAAAGTTTGGCCATAAACAGCAGATGCTCTTTAGCTGAAGGGAAAAACAAATGGCCTCGTTCTCTGGAAGAGAAGATGCTGGGCCAGTCTGAGCCTTCTGGTGTAGCGCAGCCTTCAGGTGAAGCAAAACTACATTGGGTGGTAAGCTTTAGATCACAAGCAGCAAGAGATCAAGCCTTGTTAGTTCTCAGAAGAGATAATTAGGAAGTGGTCTAGCAGTCAAACAAGCTGCACGGTTTTCTGTTTTCTGCTTTCCATATAAGAAGGTACAACTCAACATGACAGCAGGAGAGGCAGATTGCTGAAGAAGCATCAGAAGAAAGGCCAAAACAAAGTTTCTGACTGCTTGTGGTCACTAAGATGTATCCTCTTTTATGAGGAAGTTGGTAGGCAAATTTTGATGTTCTCACAAAGTATTAAGCGAGAAGGAGCAGAGCTCTCCCTAAATTAGCCCTGTGGTTTCATGTAGCAGTGTTCTTAATTCTTAGCCTTCCACATCGCAATTTAGGACAAGTTGCCTCTGGAAACACTAGCTTTACAATCCATAAGCCATTGTACTCAAGCAGCAACATGGCTTGCTGAGTGCTGGAAGTGAAGGTGGGAAGGAGGGGAAAGACAAGAAGGTGCTCCTATTTGAATTTAATCTCTGATATCCACACTGCTAGACAGGGGCAGTGGTACACCTTATGAGTGGTTGAGACTGTCATTACAACATAGAGCAGAGATGGAATAGCCAGATACAGTCACTTTCTACTAGGTGGGCTTTTGACATCTGAGCTGTAAGCAAGTATCGCACACTTTGCAATGGGTCCAGGAGCATATTCAAGCTGCATTAAAGACCTCCCATATTTAAGCCTTACCTTAAAATAAGGTTGTTTACACAAAAATTAATATTAAAAGGAATTGTTTTTTTAAAATCCTCTGAAGAGACAGGAATGTTCTGTGAGGATCTAGGATTCCTCCTGGACTTACATTAACAGTTCCACATAACGAACGTTTTTGTTCAGGGCTTCAATTTCTTTCATCTCTTTCTCAGTAAGGGAGAAGTCAAAGATCTAATAGAAGGAGATGTTAGGAATAAGTTAGCATTTCTTGTCATAATCAACATTTGTATGTTCCAGATTTCAAAAGTACAGTCCCCCTTGTCCCCCCGTCTCCTCCACAAATCCATACTTGCTTGCATTTATAGGAAAGTCTTGAGGACATGAATAAGTGCAGTCACGTTTGCTTACACTCTTTTTCAAGAAGAGAAAGGTAGTCTAGCAACCAGCTTTGAAAGCAATACATTGGCAAGGCAAGTGGGGAGCAGTGTGGGTACTGAGTGCTGCAAGGGATACAGGAACAAATTCTTCATCTTATTTGGGTGTGGTGGTCAAGCCAGATGCTTTCTGGTGGTGTGGTTATGAGCCTTTCTGGAACACCTGTATGCAGCAACCCTTCCCTAACAAAGCTGCCCCATAGCTGAAGACTGGGCAGAACAAGTCAGTCATTCCCGAACACCTACAGCCAGCAAGCTGACCTACTGAATTACTTCATCTCGCTTGTGCTGCTCACTGCAGCAACTGGTGCTCTGGGATACACCACCAGCTGGAACTTTAGCTACTCCAGAGGGTTAAAAGACACCAAAACTTCCTCTCTGCTTGGCTCCATTATTGTCATATCATGGTATCATTAAGTGATGGGGACAAAAAGCACCAAATGTGGCAAAGCTTGACATTGCTCAAGCCTTATATCTACACAAAGAAATGAGAAAATCGCCTTCTACAGGTGCAAAGCCAATGTAAGTGGATCCATCCATGCACCATCGGGGCACAAATTTACCTGGAAATTCTCTCTGATGCGTTGTGGATTGAAGCTTTTTGGGATGACCACCACCCCTCGCTGGATGCTGAAACGCAAAGCAACCTGTGCAGCTGTCTTGTTGTACTTTTTGCCAATGGCATTCAGCACAGGATCCTTCAGTAAAGGAGGGGAGGACACATTTACCCTGGAAGAAAATTGGAAAAAAAGAAAACAAAAAAACCCTCCTTATCTTTAATGTCAAAACGTAGAGGCATCTTCTTGTTTGTGAACAGAATACTGCACCTTTTTGACAAGTAGTATGAAAGATGGGAGAAAATCTTTGGCGTTTAGGTTAGCAGGCTGTCAAAGGCAACTTCCTATGTGATGTCCTAATGCTGACCTAGTTTCTACTTCCTCACCTAAGCCTCAACGTTCCCAGTTACAGACACTTGCTTTCTGTTAGAGGAAACTTAAGGTGACCTCCTATACAGACACCTGGCACTTCTTGATGACAGCATGCATCAGGAGTGTTGCAAGTTTACTTTCACAACAGTAATATTTAGACACTGAAGTTCAAAACCACTGAAAAAATGGGGACAAAGGTGTTTTGCACAAAGACCCAGCAGGGGAGAACTATTATTCTTTTCCTCAATGTTGTCCTTCTACTAGAAAGTAACATGGGGACTTACCATGTTTCATCCCTTGAGGTTCCCAATGGGCTGTACCCAACAATAACAATGTCGTGTTGTCTGCAAAATTCTAAGAGTTTGGGTTGGGTGAAATAGGGATGGCATTCGACCTACAAGAGTGACGTAGAAAGAATGATTAATCAACAGGACCAGATACAAAAGCAGATGGTGTCCCAATATTTGTGAGCTACAGACCAGGTAATGCTTTCAGGAAAGGATGCATGTAAGTTAAGGAATAGGGAAACTAAATCTGTGGTTCCTGTTCTAATTGTACGTTGCTGGGTGATGGATTTTTTTTTTTTTTTGGTGGATAGCAGATCAACATCTGTGATCGTAATTTGGCTGCAGGGAATTTTTATTGGCCCCCAGTGGAAAGGTGGCAATAAGTGGGGGGGATGGAGGTGAGGGAAGCTCACTAGAGAAGTAGGCTGAGACGGCAACCCATCTAATATGGGTCAGATCTTTGTTTCTCTGCCTCTTGCATTCGGGATGACTAATTTGATGTTGTTTTTAGGGGAAGTGTTGGCGTAAGCTGTCCCAGATAGAAAGGTAAGGGGAGGACATGTAAAAGGTGAGACATCTCCATAACGGTTATGACCTTGATACGAGCTTTGCCCTCCCACATTGCAAATACTGTGCATCGTTCCTTTACAGGCAGGGATTTTCTGGCTGTGTTCTCAGTCTCTGAGAAAGGGTTGTCTACGAGGTGACAGAGCAACCACTGTTTGCAGGCAGTCTGAAGCTAGCTGGCACATCTATGCTTGCTGGCTAGCTGCCTTAAGCTGGGCTTAATCTTTTGCCCGGTTTTGCTCAAGCCCAGGAAGCAGCAGCAATGCAGTCTTAGGGGCACGCCAGAATCGGCAACTGCATTTCGTACCCGCTGGGCATGTTAACACCAGTGAAGCGTGCTGGAATTTCCTCCTCTCGCAGGCTGCTTTTCCCTGCAGGCCAAAGACAGAAATGAAGGCTATGGCCAGCCTCCCTGCCCCACCCCATGTCAATCCCAGCCTTCCAGGCCACGCGCTGAGGGTGGGAAGTTGGTCCCAGTCAGTCTCTGGCCTCTTCTCTGATACTACTAATGTGGATATTCGTTTGTGCCAGATGAGTCAGAAGAGCTTCCCAATGATTTCTAGGAAATGCAGTGAGCTGCCAAATGCCAGAGTCAAAGGTATTGGGCATTCAGATGGGTCACTGCCACTTACTGCTTTCTCTGAGCCCCGCTACTGTAATTTAACTCGGACATGCCTATTATCCTCATGGGCTTGTTCAGTTCAAGTCAGACGCTTAATTGGGTCTCCTCTTTAATTTAGGTTTTACTTTAACTCTCACTAACGTCTTATAGGAAAGGCACAAGAGAGCAAGTACAGGAAATTTAGGAGTCGCTTCTAATGGCTTTTAAGCTTGGGAAGCTTAGAGTGACTCAGGATCCCTGATACTTAGGGTTGTTTTGGTTTGGTGTCAGATGAGGTAGACGTGGCTTCACGGAGGACTGGTTAGCTCTGAATGGTTTGTCTTGGGAATTTTTTGGACTTGAAGTAAGGTATATGGCAGAGATTTAAGATCTGCGTTGACTCAGCATTCAACCTTCTTACAGAGCTTTGGCACAGAGGCAGGAACTGAGGAGAGCAATCATTCCAGCACCTTCAAATATTTATCTCTAACCTAGATAGAATGAGTAATATTTTCAAGGTAGAAATGGAAGCGTGACAGTATGGAGGGCAGCATCTGTGGCAAAGCATACGTCGCCTTTCTGTGCATGGTGGCTTAGGCCACGTGTTGTCTCTGCGTTCCCTATGGGGCAGTGGCACCGTGGCAGGCACTGCCCTCGGCTTGCAGTCGTACCTGGTTGCTGACAGGTTTGTACTTAAGTCCTGGCTTGTTCAGGATCATCTCCAGCTGCCTGCGGTTGAAATTGGATACTCCAATAGACTTTGCCAAGCCTGCATCTTTACACGCTTCCATAGCCTGCAAAGAAAGCAAAGATCTGTGGAGTCCCACATGTTGGCTTGATTCCTTGGAGCATGTGTTTTAGAGATAGGTGGAAGATAGTCCATTCTTGAGACTGCAGAAAAACCTTTGCTGCAGCAGAACTAACAGCTCTACCAGCATGAGGGCTGGTGCCATCCCACTATTCTGAACTCCGTTCCTGCGTAGACCCGCTTTCCAGACCAAACCCTAATGTTTTATACCTCTTGTGGGGGTAGAATTTGTCTGGAGAGCAGAAAGATTAGTCTGAGATATATATATACTTAAGTGCCAGACATCTGCTTTCAAAGAGTTTTGCTTACTTTATGCTGCTTTAGCGCTGCCTCAAAGCTGAAGAAGGGAGAGTGAATAAAACAGATTGCTTTCCTGATAAGTCAATTTGTTCCTTTTGATTGTACAACAGTTTTTCATATAAAGTCTCTATCCAGTGAAATCCCCTAAACACCTGGCAAGGCACATCACAAAACCAGCACAGAAAACTTCAGTACAGTATAAAGTAGAAAAAAAAAAAAGAGGGGAGAGAGGAATTCTAGATATTTGGCACTTCAGACAAATCCTAATAGCTGAGAAATACTTATGAATACCGGGTATGCATACATGCCCTGGTCTTCATTAGCTTCATCTGCTGGATTGTTAAGGGGAAAGAGGGTCCTTTCCTATGGTCTTCCCCTTTGCTCCCAGAAACTGCACACAAACGATTCGGTGACTGTTTGAGGCAGAGCAGACCCCACCGTGGAGCTGGATGCCCCTCCTGTGGTTTTGTTATTCCTTTCTGTCTCACAGGAGGTGAAAGCAGGGAGGTAAGAGGCACCATGTATTTGATGACCTCTACTTGGCCTCATATGCTTTGTATCACTTAGTGACAAGTCAGCAAATACCATCATCTGGAGCCATTTTTTTTCTGCTAGCACCATACTGAGAGAGTGAAATTATCTGGATTGAGTTTAGCCAGTTTTATTTAGATTGATGCTATTATTTGCAGGCACTCAACCACCACCTATTTTTCTCTTGGCTTATTAACTAAAGAGAGTGGCCTGCTACAATATATCTTTTACAATAAGCACCAGCTTGAACATAAACATAAGTGTTGGGACAGCTGTTGCTTTCAACATTTGAGCAACTACCCTGTGAAAGAGAGGAATGAACTGCATCAGCCAAAGACAAGGGTAACATAAACAGCTAACGTGGAAGTCCCCATTCCCCCCGAGACCCAGCCTGGATGGCTCAGCTGCTAGGGGAAAGCCTAAGTCTGCCCTGGGCTCTCTCCCACTCTGAACTTTCACTCAGAGTTTCACTCATTCTCCATCTTTCTCCGCTGCACCTCGAGTACAGCTAAATTGGGACACGACTATCCAGCTCTGGGTGGTGCAAGCTGAAGTGGAGCATGTAGTAGCCCATGTTATCTCTCTTGGTGTGAACTGGGATGAATTAGTGATGCTTTTGCAGCAGACCTGGTGCAGAAGGAGAGCTGACCATCTTTGGCCAGGAATTAAAGAGTGCCCAAGGCTTAAAAAGGCAGGAACGTGCGGAGATTGCTAATCTCACTTTCTGCCTCACCTCTGAGATCCTGACGCCAAGTGGCAGTAGGCTTAAGGAGACATCTGGCTATAGGTACTAGAGCACATCACAAACAAATTTAGGATGCAATCTTTCAGGCAAATGCTACTTCCCTCCAAGTTTTCTTAGCAGAAAAACCTTACAATAATTAAATTTAGGAATGGGTGAACTTCTTCTGATGGCAAGGGTTTTGGGGGTTTTTTGTTGGGTTTTTTTTGTGGTTTGGTGTTGGTTTTGTTTTGTTTGTTTTTTTTTTTTATGGTGAGCTTTAGGGCAAATTCTGTTTTTTCTTGAAGGTGAAAAGCTTCCTTTTTTTGAGGAGGATGTAGTCACTTCTTAGGGCTCCAACTTTCTCCTGCTGTAAAGATCTGATAAAGAGGAAAGATTGGTAAAAACCTACAGATACCTCAACTAGCAAATGTAGAGTGCACACTGTGAAAGAAGGAATGTGGATGTCAGATGTTTCAACAATGTTTTACTTTGTTATAAAAATAATTTTGTTGCAAGAAGCAACATCCTTAGGGACAGAAGTAAAATTTATCCATGGAGCTAGTAGAATTTGATCCATTTGTCCTGTCAATATGCCTCAGCTCTGTTTATGAAGGCCACAAGTAAAACTGAGAATGAGGATCTGTGCTTTTAAAGCATATATGGATGGATGTTGTGTTTGCTTACCTCCCAAGTGGCACATAAGTCTGTCTCATGGTAGATCATTTTTCCATTTTCATCTTTTGGGTAGATTGCATCTCCAGGCTGAAAAGTAAAACCACACTTTTGCGCTTTAAAGAAATTTTCACTACTCAGAGCAAAGATTTTTCCACAGGCTGTGTTTCTACTAGCAAACAAACAAAAAAAATTCAAAAGCTTTCTGAAATACCCTAAGTTCAACAGGTCATTCATGCTGGGCTTACCACATCCTCCACTGCTAGATCGTCCTTGGATACACTTCTGAACTGTCACATGAGTGCACACTCAGGAGTTCCTGGATGGCCTTGTTTTTCAGTAAACTTTCGACCTTTATGTTATGGCATACAAGGGACTAGTCTCCTTCCAAAGGGCTGGGTTAGAGTACCAACCTGTATTCTCTTCCACTTCTTCCCTCCTTTCTTCCCAGCCCTTCCCTGGATCCTGCTTGTGTCCTAGGCACCTGGGAAGAGTACCAGCTCAGTCCAGCTGCCAACAGTTGGAGGGACCATTTCCAAGAGCTACTTACTAGCAGTAAAGGGCTATGTGCGTAGCTATAGTACAGACTGTGAACCTCTTAAGTGCATTATCCACCTTTCTTTGGGCACTAGGAACTCTTTCTTTCTATCTCTATACCCCATAAACAAGACTTCAGAGATGAGTTATGAGCTGATATCTCATGAGCACAGCTTTCTCTTATTTGCTGGTCATTTCACTGCTGTTGCAGGCAATGCATTAACACCTCCCTCCCTTTTCTCTGATCGCGATTTCACTTTTTTCATAAAAACCCTTCAGTGATGTTTGACATTTGATCTGACTGCAAACTGCTACATTTCAAAGGCCTGGGTACAAGATGTTGACATGGTAACTCCTTGGGAACATGCAGCTGTGACTAATATGATCAGTAACTGGCGCCTCCCAATTCAGTCAAGAAGTTCAAATTCAAGGCATTTCATGGGAAAAGTGAGCCTAAGGAAAACACAGCCTCAAATTTCAGAGGCCAAGGTCTAAGTTACAGGCATAAGCCTGTCTCCTCCAAATGTGCTCATCTTCCTCGAGGAATTCCACAAACACGACTTATTGCCTTTGTTGCTGTGTCTTGCTGAAAAAACATCTTGACTAGAAGAAGGTAGGTGACTGTTGGGTACATGTTTTCTATTAGAAGGCAACCTGTTTGCCATCATAACTTGAGGTGGAGAAGCCCTATTTACAAAACCACCCCATGGTATTTTGGAACAAACCATTCATCCCCGTGATATCCCAGCAGGCTCTTCAAGGACTGCAAGCTCAATGCATAGCCGTTGGACTTCTTTGAGTTTAGGGGATGAGTCTGAATTCAAGACTCTTACTCTGTTCCACTTCTAATTCATTAACTTCTGTTCAACACTACTTTTTTTTTATAGTAGTCAATAGACAGCAATTACATTAGCTAATTTAACGAACAAAGTCAGGATGAACAGCACTTGAAGACGAACTTATCTTGGCTGAGATAAGTGGTGCCAGCTATTGTGGACTTTCACAAGGATTAATCCTTCCTCCTGCCTCCAAGGAACTGCACCAGATGTTGAAGTAGAGTTGTCTCTGCTCAACAGTCTCCAGGCAATACTTTCTCTGCCAAGCTACCTCTTTATGCAAGGGAGTTCCTGAATGGAAGAACTGTGTGCGGATGGATAAAGAGGGATAAAGTGCTGAGAGAAAGGCAGTGTTTTGATGGTGACAGGATGGTGGTTACTGGGTCTTTGAAAAGATCTTTCAGAAGCTGGTCACATTTCTCAGCTTTGGGTTCTCATGGACTACACCGCACCAGTCATTCCCACAAATGCTGTTCTCTTCTCTTGCAGTTCTCTTGGAGACAGCCACGCACCTTAAACTGAATGTAAGGTAGCTTCCTACCATGCTGCCGTATGAGCACTGAAATGAGTGGGACACCACCCTACAGTCATTGCCACCATGCAGGGATCACATCGCATCACATCGTATCATGTCATGTTCAAAGTCTGGAGGCATTCCAAAAGCTACCAGACAACTTACTTGCATATTTAAAACACAGCAGTTGGTAACCACTGGGAGGAAAAGCCCTGCTCCCGTTATAATAATTTCCTCACCAACACAACTGCAGGAAGACAGGTCTGCACATCCCATTGCTTTCCAAAATGGTCTTTGACAAGCAGGCTTTCTCAAGAGAGCAATTTTAACAACTTGTGAATGCCTGTTGTATAAACAGAAGGCAATAGGAAGTCAAATAGTGAGGCCATTGGTCTGTTTTGATTTAGTCTTTTAAAATGACACGAAGATACTTGGGTGAGACTTGTTCAATGTAAGGATGAAATACCTGCTTTCCTGCTAGATCACAGAATAATTTAGTTGGGAGGGATCTGGAGATCACTTAGTACACAGGTACCTGCTTACTGATGGATCAGTCATCTGAGCAGAGCCCCCTAGAAAACCTGCCAGTGGGTATGAGCTCCCCAGGCAGAGGGCACGTGCTGGCCTGGAGGAGACCTGTTCCTGCTGGTCATCTGCCTTGCTAGGGTAGAGGGGCTGAGCACCACCACTAGGCTAAAGGGAGGAAGGACAAAAGTCCTGAATGGGGAATCTGTGTAAGGACAAAAAAATACAGGGACGTGCCAGCTAATGTTGGTAGGTCAGTGAATAATGTCACCCCAGACGTCAGCCATTCTTGATCCACCCAAAAGCACTGATGTGGTGGGGCTTTCTTCCTCTGAGTGGTGCTCTCTGAAAACAGATTCCTCTTACTCTGCCTAAAAGCCCCTATAACAGCTTGCACCGCTGGGCTCTGCAGGGCCATGTTTCATACTGGTTTCGGACTTGGACTATGAGTTTTGTCTCAAGTACTTCACTGGTTTCAAGCAGAAACTGCTTTTGCTAGGAGGCTTTTGGGGAGACAGGAAAGCACCAAGGTTTGCAGACCAGGGCAGAGCAGGAGTTCGTTAGCGTCACGCTGCACACTCCTCACCAAAGGCACGCACCGCATGCGGGATGGGTGTATTTGTGAGAGAGGGAGCAAAGAGAGGAAACCTGTCACTGTTGCAAAGGGTGGGGGTTTTTCTTTTTGTATTTGGCACAGAAAAATGTATAGTGTTCAGGCAGAAAGCGACTTCTTTTTTTCTCTCCTCTCACAGGGAAAATGAATGAATCTCTAGGACTGTTACTCCTTTAACAACTCAGATTGTTGATATAGGCCTCAGGGAGTCAGATGTACATTACTTTAAAGCCAGCTGTCTATATTTTTATATTGTGAGACAATGACCTTCACTATGTGGGAGAATGAACTACTAGAGAATACAAACACAAGCAAAGGGAAACAGGAAATTGCAAATGGTGGGAAATTTTTAAAAATGTACCCAAAAGGATTCCATACGTGGGACCGTATAAATAAAGTTTTAATATCTGAGTCTAGTTACTCCTATACAGGTCTTAATGGAATATGGCTTCCTTGGGGGGAAAAAGGAACTGCAGGTCTAAGGTGATTGCTTCATTGGTAAACTGCTTCCTATCTGATGCTTCTGGCAGTTTGGAGTCCATAGTAAAATATAATCAGAGAACTACCTTCCTTGCAAGAAGAGGCCAGTTTAGAGTTTAAACATCCCACAGAAACAATTAGCAAGCTAATTGCCTGACCCTATTCTCTCTAAGAAAAAGGATTTAATTGGTTCAAAACCACTTAAATATATTTTGAATCTCATTCTTCTAGCTTCAGCATTATTCAATTTGCCTTTACATCCTGTACTTGCAGAGCAAAATTGTAAAGCAAGGTACAAATGGCTGTGAAATGAGAAAGTTTGGGGACTTGCAAGAGCTCGTTGCAAGGGAGGGATGCAACTCTGATGTGAGCTCCTTGCATTCAGAGGTTTTGGCTACAAGTTGCCCAGAGCCAGCAGTCTGAAGGAATATCAGGCTTTAACTTTTGAGAGCGAGAGATGGACAACCCATGTTCGGGACCAACTGTGATCTACTGAAGCTGTCCAAGAGGAGCACTGGAGTTAAAGAGATTAAGATCATAACCATGATTAACCCAGAGGCTATTCATTTTTGGGGACAAAAGAAATTAACTTGGTGGCTTTTTCTCCTTTCTCTCTCCCTCTCCAAACTTTGCCCCTACCCCTTCGCTGCTTTGTATAACCACTTTCCTCCAGTGACTCCCTTCTCATGGCTCAGAGGGGATTAAGGCACATGTGCTGCTTCAGCTACAGAAATGCTTCAGCACAAGAAGTGTTCAACCCCAGTTAGGAGACCTGTCCTTCCAGTGGAGAGACCCCATGCAACACCTGCCAGTAACTGTTCTCACACCACCTATAAGCCTCTCTTTGTGTGGGTAGTGCTCAGAAACGTACGCCTGCAGTACATATCAAACATTATCTGGCCAAAGTGCTATTTTCGACATGGACTGGAAGCTGCAAGGATGATGCTAGATGGAGACCTTGGTTCAAGCCAGTCATGCACTTTTTTTGGGCAATTTTTCTTTTTACCTTGAAAGCCATTGGCAGCTCAATAATGTAGAGGTCAACGTAGTCTAGCTGCAGGATCTTCAGGGTTTTCTCCAGCGTGGGACGCACCAGCTCTGGGGGGTGGCAGGTATTCCACAGCTGGGGAGGCAAGCACAGGCTGTTTTTTGTGTGCCAGGAGGAACAGTGAGCATCCTCCAGCTGACACACTGTGTGCCCCCCGCCCCCCCTTGTCCTTCTGACAGAATCCGTTATGCACAGTGCAAAGACACCATGGTCTACATCACTGCAAGACAAAGGTGAGGGGCCTTATCCTGTCCTCTGCCAGAGGCAGATGTAGAGGTTAAGACAGGAGTCCTTGCCCAGGACTGTCCCAGTGCTGACCCAGTAAAGCTATTACATATTTGTTTATTACAACACAGGTTCTTCTGAGTTGAGTATATTGCAAACTCTTGCTCAATTAACTTAGGCAGATTTCTTTTGTTTTCCGAGCTTTCCAAGCATATGCTTTCACTGGAAAACTTTGTTCCCACAAGAAATCTGTGGTCAGTTTCATGCTTGAAGGCAGAAGCTTGGATCATGTGAGTTAGCTATTGAACAGCCAAGCACCCGGCACAAAGAGAATCTTTTGGTTTTCTCCTGTGGTCATGGAGCCTGAGTGACTGCCTGACCTAGGGAAGTTTTAATTTACTCCCCAGTCCTCACTGAAAGATGTAGTATTGTTTAGTTACTGTAACGCAGGTGTGACTAGTTAAAGCACAGCCTTTTCAACTTCTAATCACAACTGCTTCCTTGTGGGGTTATGCCCTGAGGTTGCTATGGGGTGTGCTTAGTTGATTAGCTTTCAGTATTATCTCTAACTGAACTCTGCTGATGCAAATCTCTCACAAGAATAAAATCATAGCATGATAATTAGTAACCAAGAGCTCTTTGTAAAGTGATTGCTGCAGTTAAAATTGACAAAAACCAGAATTAACACAGAATAGGTTCAAAGTGCCATTTGCTTGCACACAATAAGCTGGGCTACTTTATCTTCTTTTTTCAATGCACAAAACTGACATGTGGAGTCATGTTGAGGTTTTTGACACCTTTATTGGCTGGAAACAAACCTGCTGTTTGTTGGTATGGTCATTGGACAGTTCTGCCACCAAAGCTGGCAGTCAGCATGCGAAGGTATAGAGTGAATCCATTCTTGAGACGTGAAACACTCGAATTGCGATTTTTCAGGAGAAGATGGTCTTTATAGGTGTCAAAGGACATAGCCTGGGTAAGTTCTAAAGTATTTTAGATGTTTGGTTTTTTTAAACCAGATAGTTATTCCCTGGGAAAATAATAACCTGTTCAGTTCTGCCAACAGAGGCAAGGACAAGTTATCTTGAAGTTCAGTTGTACTGAGAGCAGCACACCTGACCCTGCCCTAAGCTGACACACCAAAGCAGGGGTTGGCACCTGGAAATTCATACTAGGCGTTCCCCAGCCGTATGTTGCAAGGCGTGCAGAGTTTATGATTGCTAAGATGGTGCTTACACAGGCTGAGGTGTACTACAGTAAAGGGACCGCGGTCCTGCTCTCAGAGTTTTAAGCTTGTTCTGCTGGATTTCCCGAAAGACTTTGGTCTGGATGTGTTTTAAGCATTTGCCAATCTTAGATTTTCATTTTACATGTAAAATGAGATGTTGTTTTGGACTTAAATATAGGTAAGGAAATGAGTCTGTATAACCTTCATGTTTAGTTTGTTTCATTACTGTGTTTAAGAAATTTAGTAACCTGAGGTATGTTGATAGTTTAGAAGCAGTTTTTCCAAGTGCCCTTTCTAGCCCAGTGCTGTTGAGCTCAGTACTTGCCAGTGAACATACTTCCCTGCAGAGGTTCTAAAGAAACAGCCTTTAGAAATAGCAAACATTTGTACTATGTTAATACATAGATGCCATGGAAACTTAAGTGTTTCATAACTGTTTTCATGATTTGTACAAGTTATTGTATTATCTACCTAAGTAGAACCCATGTAGATGTTTAAGCAGTCAAAGCTGCCAGCTGGCTTTGGCATTTCAGGACACCACATTTCCTGGAAATGTTACTTCTAGTTTAATGAAAGAAATATCCTGGGATGAAAGAGGAGACCAAAAAGGTCTTGCTATATAAGCCAAGTGAGATGTTGGCAGTTGATATAAAACCTCTAAAATTTCTGGATGCTGAGCTGCTCTGCCTGATCAGCCAGCCAGCAGCAAGAGCCAAGTGCAAGTGCTGATGATTTCAACTGGCAGATGCAGCCCGATTGCACCAAGCCACCATTCCAGTAACGCTGCCACTCAGCGGGGCTCTTCTTGTTAGTGCCTGCTGATGGACCAGCCTTCAGTTTGCATCATCTTCGTTTAAGGAAAGATCTGTACGAGGGGCTTGAGTCTGGAGGGTTTTGGGAATTTCCAGTACTTCTGATGTCAGTAAGGCTGAAAACAAAACCAACTTTTGTTGTGCAGACTACTTTCAAGAATGGTCTACTGTATCTACCGTGTTTCCAGAAGATGCAACAGTTCATATCAGTCAGTTACCAATCAATGGCTGATGTATCTACCGGTAGCTTGATATTTGTCTGTAGTTCATAAGATACTTAAGTTCCTAAAGTACATAAAGCTGAAGATACATAAGCTCATAAGACAAGGGACATCCAGTCCCACTCCTCCTGGGAAGTTCAGAGCTGCTGTGAAAACGTTCAGTGAAACCTGTGGAAATCCTAGATCGTGATGGATTGAATTGGTTGCAGGTTATTTTCCACTTCTGCTTTTGAACTCTTTAAAGAGTACAGAGATGTTCTAACAAACTATCACCCTGAGCACCCAAAGTTTTGTCAAGCATGAACAGAACACAACAGAAAGATAAATCCATCTCACAGTCACAAGCCAGGCTGGAACGCAGGCATTGACTATCATGGTACTATGAGTTCCAGCCCTCTGGCTTGCAAGATCTGCAGTTTAGGGAACAACTGAACTTACAATCAAGAAATCAAATGCAGTTTCACAGGTGGCTCAATGTTTAGGTAGTGATCATCAACTAGGAAAATCATCTAGTGATTAGATCAGACAACTGAATATAGAAAGGCTTAATAAATAAAGTTTGGAACCCTGATAGAGTTTTACCGAGAAATGCATGTTCACAGAACCTAAAGGTTTATATGGGAAAATAAACTGCAGGGAAGCAGTTGGAAAGTTAAAGACTCAAAATTGCTAGGACATCTGGTTCTAACCTTTTGGCACAACTTTGTGTATTTGATTTGAAATATTACTGGTAATTTGCTGTAATGAAACTATAAAACAGTTGAAACAAAATATTTCGACTGATTCAAATCAACATGTTTGGCATATGAGAGACTGAGAGACTACTCTGATAAAGGTGGAAAATTTGAGGACGTGAAGCTTTTCTCAGGATGGCAAGGTTGTTACCAGTAGAACCGAGCAGGGAACTTGGAAAAGAGTTGCATACTTTACAGATTGGAAAGTGCTGTACTTGGAAATTGGTCTATAGCTGCTGAAAATCCACTTGGTCTGCAAACTACCCAATCTGAAGCTTAGTTTCCCAGGTCATAGAGCTTAACTAAATTGCTCACAGTAAAACGGGCCTTTTATCCCATGGGATCTTTCACTCTAGGAACCGTGGTATTTATTTCCAAGTCTGTTGAGTAACTTTTGTGGATTACGTCTTATTTGGGAAAAGAGAAAGGGAAAATATTAGGCTGATATGCTCAAAGAAGCACTGCAGGAAGGGGAACTTGAGGCCATAAACTCCACTAGAAACTGAACAGTTTTTCTGGGGCATCTGATCTTTATTCTGCAATGTGTGATGAGCTCTCTCTTTTATACCTGGGATCTAGTCATCGTAGCTGTAACAGCTTTTATCAGACACTTCATCGGACAAGGGATTTCTTCTAGGAGAGAATCAACTCTTACAGCTAAGACTTTAAAGAGTTAACTAGCTCATGCATTATGCCGGCCTCATTGCTCTAGAGCAGAAGTGCGATGACATCTCTCCAAGTAAGTTGATTCATCATCCTAGAACTTTTTAATGACAGGTGATACAGTAACTAAGGGTATAGCTTGATGAGTAATCTTCTGACAGTAGTACCAATGTAGGCACTTGCTGTTCTCCCGTACACAGACACTTGCATGCACGTGCTTGCTCCCACCCCTTTCATTGTGTAATCTCACGGTAAACCTGTACGGGGAATTGCTCTAACAGAAAATAACTCATTTGCAAGATCATTGTCCGGATTGGGCTCAGTGTGTGACTGTACAAATGTGCGTGCCAGCACAACACGTGGAACGGTAACAGCTTAGGCAGCACGGCTGAGTGTAGCAATGGTCTAAACTTGCAGGTACTTACAGTACTAGGCAGAATGGATGTTGGATGGTTCCCACTGCTAACTGAGCTCTAAACTGGGAACAGCAGCGATTCCTGCGCTTTACAGCAAATCTCGTGCTCATAAAGCTTTAAGGAATTATGGTAATGTTAGGGAAGAAAAGTAAAGGATGTTGGGTCTGGGAACATGCCAGATGTTGACCACCGGCATTCTTAAGAAAGCCCGTTCACAGAAATCCTGGATTTAGTGTAAACAATCTGAGTGCAGCTTCTCACCTTGCCACAGTAAAAAATGTCTTCTCGCTTGATCCTTCCTTCAGCAATCTTCTCCCGGATGGCTTGTCCCACTTCATGCTCATTGTAGTAGACAAAGGCACCGTCAATATGGCGGTAACCAGTATCAATGGCAATCTTCACCGACTCCAGACAGGAACCTTTGGGAGTCTAATGGGAGAAGAAAAAGAACAAACATAGTTCCAGCCCCCTGTTCACCTCTCTTGCAAAGCTATAGAGTCCCTAAGATATGCACAAGGTTCATGCTGGGGTTCATCCAGTCTAACCATCTCTTATCTCCTCAGACACCTGTGTTTCCATTTCTAAATAAAAATGTGCTGTGCACTTCTCTTCAAAACTGTCGCGAATGTGGAATTAGACTGGGAAAAGGAGCAAAGAAAAAAATTCTCTATGCGTCTGGGAAGGAGAGGGTACTAGAGTCCTCAGAAAGTAGAACTGAATGTATTTGATATGAAAATTATTTCAGAATTTCTTATCTAGAGAGCAAGGGCTTTCCTACAACAGCCGTTTGACAAAATCCCTTACTGAAGTGGAAGAGGGCTTTTTGGTTGAGCAGAGCTTGTCAATCACCTGCCTGATCAGAGGCTTTTTGAATACCTTATGGCTCAGCAGGAGTTTGGATTTGACTTCTCCTTAAATCAGCTTACCATTGGTGGTATCACAATCCAAAGGGTGATAGCTCAGGACTCTCTACTGGTATTCCTAGTTCTGGACAGTTGCTTTACCGTGTGGCTAAGAACTAGTAGATGCCTTACTGTACATTTATATACATCGTACTGCTTCCATTTAAGGTGAGCCCAAGAAACCTCTTAATAAGTCCAAGTGGCATTTTTGTACTGTGCTGCACTTATGTTTACTCATCTTTGCTGAAATTCAGAGTAAGCTTGTTTTTTCAGAAGAGTCATATTTTCCATTAGCCAGTGTGGCAAGCAAAATACACATAGGCCAAACCAAGCAAAAAAGCATAAGACTGGTCACTGAAATCATTTGACTGATCACTGAAATTGTAGTGAAAACATCTTAGTGTTGCCACACTTTGTATAATGAGAGGGCAGCTCTAAATGGCGGTGGTCAAGGGCTCTCAGTAACATGTGGCAACACTATTCTCCCACCCTTTTCATAGGCATTGCTCTGCTGCGACAGGGACATCTGATTCACTTACAGGAAAACTGAGATAAGGTGAGTTCAACCTGCTCTGCTGTACTGCTATCTGCCAGCAGCAAATGCCAAGAGGTGAATTTTGCTATCTCCAAGTGAAGGGACAAGACCACGCTGCTTCTCCTATGAAAAAAACAGATGCCAGAGACATCTGGAAATGAGACGGGGTATGAAGAGAGGATGTCAAATTTGTTGGTTTTGCTGACGCTAAGGAAAGACAAGAAGCAGGACTGGCAATAGGACCACTTTTCACCACAGCAGTCGGTCTCTCTCCAAGCTATCCTTTGACAGTAGCCACTGGCTTGGCTGTCCAGGAGTTTGCCATAAAATAAGCAGCTGCTCTTTTGCCACATGCTGAACTAGAAGGTGTGAAACTCACAGCTGCCATACGATGCTGCAGGGACTAAGGACACTGGTCTGTCTTTCCATGTTCATGGAAGAAAGATCTATGAAGGACTGCTGAAGACACATGGGGGTCAACCTCTCTGTCTTTCAGTCCCAGAGCTGTAGGCTGGTGACAGTTTATTCTGGGGTAATGGGACTGTATCCCTGCCTGCTCGCTCTGCTCTTCGGTGTCCCATCCGGGCTGGCCGTTATCGGGCACAACTGGACTGACTTCTGTTCAGACTCAGGACTTTCTGCTCCGGGATGCAGTGCCTAAAGGTTGCTTAAAACGCAAAGCTGCTCACGCTTGCCCTTATTTATTACAGACGTGAGTGAGGGCTGAGAGGCAAAACAGCACAATTTGGCATGCTAAAATATTTACAGCAGTGATGACACGATATTGTCTGCTTGACTGAGAGAGACAACAAAACACTTGTTTGGATGCTCTGCTGCTTTTGCTGTGGGAGCCTTCCAAAGGCACGCTTGGCCCCTGCCAGGGCCCTTTCCTGGTTGTTAGTAGGATGTAATGAAGACCACGGCAGCTAAAAGACTTTCAGGAGCAGTCAATGGCTAGTTTTCACTCGGGGCATGTCGGGCAGCGTTACAGAAGCACGAGGCATGGAGCAGTGACAACTTCCAACATGTTGGCTGCTTTGTCCCTGCCTGAACCTACAAGGAAGGATTTGAGGAAGGCAGCAGGCAAAAAGCTCTGACTCGAGTACTACAAGCCTGCAGTTACTGATGACAGTAACCTCAGACCTCTGTCTCAGCAATGAGCTGCACCAGGCTGTAGCCGCGGGTGCAAAGCTCAGGCTGACTAGCACAGAGCAACGGGGCTCAGCTTAAAGGACTTGTGAGCTCAAGTCTAAGGGATGACTAGTTGTCCAAAAGAGAAATACATTTTTAAAAGTGCAATCAGTGTTTTCTCTATGAAACCTGATTTTTCAAACTGTGACTTTTAGGTTGCTTCAGCCTGTTTGACTTCTACCGTTTAAGTGTATGAAAGCAGAACATTTAGAGTACAGTGACACACTACCATAATACAGATTTAAAAAAAAAAAAAAAAGGTTTTTGTTTTGGTGTTTTGTTTTGTTTTGGTTTTTTTTAACTTTTTCCCTTTTGTTGAAGAGCCTGAAAATGGGGTGTGGGCCTGATCCTAGAATTTCCTCTCTCTTTTCTTTGCACTCTTGAGAGATTGCATGAACATGGCTCCCAGTCGTTTCCTGAAGCTGTAAACTAAACTCCACCAAGCAAGGAAATGTTGATTACTGAGTTGCATCTTTTCTCAAACACCAGGGCCGGTTTGGTCAGCAACAAAAGCAGACGGAATAGGTGAAGAAGGGTACAGCCTCACATATAGGGGAACGGCGTAATTGCAGACTCAGGAGGAGGGTGGAGTAGAGGAAAATGAGAAAGCTTGCAATTGCCTTTGGCTGAATCAGTTAACTTATGTTAGAGCTGAACTTCTATGTATTTCTTAATCTTTTGCATGGGACTTACACACATCTGTACAAATAATCTTGTGAAAGACTCCTCCATCTCAAGGATTAATCTTATTCTTTAGGGGCTTGAGGAGGCTTTTTTTGGATCAGGCCTTGATTACCAATGGCCGGAGATGGGTTTACATTAAAAATAAATGTTTTCATTGCACTAGTTCATTTCATCTGATGTGGTATATTAGTTCTGACAGATTCTGGTCTAAGGTGCTTCATATAAAAATGCAAGACAACCTAGGGAACAGTTTTTGGAAAATCCTGCCTCTATTGAACCATCCCAGCTGAAGGCCTGAGACATCTGCGAGTCTGGAAACTTTATACCATATGTTTATTTTCATTCTAATGGAGAAACTATCATTTCTAGCATTTCACATTTCTAATCCTTCCAAATCCTGCAGTAATGGGCTGTGGTAAACTGTGCTGATGAGTTGCACAGGCTAGTCATGTTGTGGTTTTGCCACTTTTTAGAAGTGTTGCCTTAAGTGTCGTATCTTATTCCATTGTTTCCTGACAGACCATACCAAAGCTGGATGACTCAGATCACCACTGCTCATCCATCTTTCCATCAGAGAAGGCACAAACCTAGATCCTTCCCCTCTACCCCATTGCTCAGCCTGAGGCGTTTTAATCTCTTCTGTCTTTCATGGAAATAAAGTCTTTAACTAGTAATGACCAGATCAGAGATTACCACCTGAAAACCAGGTGGTTTTTACTTAAGTGCAGATAGAAGTTTGTGATATGACTGCTCTTACGTCTCGTGGTGTTGTACAAGGGTCGGCACTTCAATCACAGCAGCTGATGGAGCAGTGCCTCCCACCTTTACCAGGAAAGCCAGACCTCCTCCTCCTCCTTACTGCAGGTTATAGTCACTAGCCTACGCTATCTACAATGTGGTTGCCTATGCTGTCTACTCATTTCAGGTAGGCCTTTATTCTTGCACCGTTCCCAAATAAGCAGGGCTTATGTTTAGAGCAGCACAAATGCTGGACGAGGTACTGAAATGTCGCTGTGCTATAAACCTTTGTGCTTTGTCAGCGGTAATTCAAATCTTTGCTTCTTTATTACTTTTTATTTAAGTGTAGGTAAGAGGTATGCTTGATCTTTAGCTGTAATTAATGTTTCAGTTTCTAATCAGTGTGCCCTGCAACTATGCTACTTTGATCAAGGACTACTGTTTTAAAATCAGAATTTTAAAACCACTCGTACACTGTAAGTCAGATTTTTATCTTCAGTGCTCTTACAGTCAGTCACAAATTCGTGCCAAAAAAGGTATTAAATTTATTACATGTTTTATGATAAAAGAAAAACTGCTTGGTTGACTAGAACCACTTGCTTAATCCCTAATAACTCCTTCAACATGATCTAGCTTATTTTTAAGATCACAGAGTTTAAGGAAACAACACACGCAATTATTCCCTCTATCAATCAATAGCTTGTAAACCTGCTGATTTACCACCACGCATGACAGATTAAACCAGTATCCATTTATTTCAGGTTCCATGGTAAATAAATCCGGCAGAAGCACAGGGGGAGCAGACTCATATTTGCACCTCACTAAAAGAAAGGAAGAGGCAATTTGGCCCCTTTGCCATAGATGAAGTAGCCAATTGGCCAGTTACCACATTTTATGAGTCTGAAAAAGCAATGTGCTTCATCAGTTCTGCCTGTCTGAAAGGGTCTGCTCTCTTTTGCCTCTGAGACCATGAACTTTTTTATTTTTTAATGTTTATTCCAGACACCTTCCATCACATATCATTTTGTCAAAAACTATTCTCCCTACCACAGAAAATGTACAGCTTCAGTTTTGCTCATGATTGCACGTGACCAAGCCACAGGAAAATATTTTTTGTGCAGGCATACCCATGAATTTTACTGTTCCCTCTCAAGTAGGGAGGAAAATAGTAAGTATTTGCTTAGCAGTGTTAGTGGTTGTCCTACTCATTGCTGTTATTTAGCGTTGCGTTTCAGCTGCCCTCCAATTCTTTTGCTTTTTCTATACTATCCTTTTCTGGTCAGCAATTTCCATCAGCTCTCCATCTGATAAAGAGGGATTCTGGTTACCTCCAAAGACAAAGCTAAGAGGACACGTTGGCGGCAGATCGTAATCTTGCAAAGCCATGTGAACAGCTACCATAGGCACTGCTTTTATAAATGGGTTAACATCACTATTGTAATTTATTCTTTATCAGTGCATACAGTAAAGGAAAACAGTCTGACTTAGGCTCCCACATTCTGCTCTGCCTCGTTTCACATATGCAGCTTTACAGAGTTGCACCAGCCTCGGCAGCCTGTGAAAGCTGAGGAAACAATATTTCAGGGAAGGAGCCGTTTACCTTGGTCCTGAGCACCTCACCTGGGTAGTGCAATGGTATCCAGTCCCTCAGCTGGGAATAATGACCCTGGGAGGAAGAGCTTGAGGTGTTGGGAGAGACAGGGCCATCTCCTGGAAAAATCTGAATTTAGCTGCAGCTGAATTACACAAGAGATCCAAACTGTGGGCTAAGCGCTCCAGTCCTAACCTATAATTTAAGATGTGGAGCCGCTGTTTAGGAATCTTAGTCAGCTAAATACAGGAAGGAGAAAGTAGGTACATTCCTGGGCTCAGAGCCTCCTTCGCCAGAGCTCGGCACTCGCACACAGATTCTTATGCAAGTTTCTAGAAGCCCAATTGCTTATTTCCATTTGCCTGTTTTCCGGACAAACTGGCAAAGAGGACTGGCTTAAGATGTTAGGCACAGAGCATAGAAAACGTGTACTGAAGACATTGCAGAAAAGCACAGGTTGAGTTTATAAAGCCAGAGGATATGAGCCACGCAAGGGTACATTCTTAGAATTGTTTAGTCTTGTAAAGGAGAAGCTGTACTGTACACCTCTTTCCTGGAAAATGCAACCGCCAGCACATCCCCCTCTCTCGTACACAGGAAAATCTGGCTTTCATCCCCCGGAAGCACTGGCAGCCACTATCCAGGAAGCAAAACCCAGCGAAGGGATCTCTGCAAAAGCAGGTAGAGCTGGGAATGGAGGCAGAGAGCACAGCTGAGAGCCACGAGTTGCTATGCCGGCCCAGAGCTTTGCTCTATGTCACGCAGTGCGCTGCCTTAGGAAGTGGAGGATAGCAAACGCGCCCAGAGAAGATGGGGGGGAATGGTGACGCTTGCTGCCTCATGTCACGCTGTGAATGAGCGTGGACAAGGGGTGCCTTTCTCCTCTAGCCTGATGTCCTGTCAGGCTCACGCCTGAAGCGTGAGGTTTGATTGCCTGTACGACAAAAATTAGATTGCATAACTGCAGATTTAGCATTTCTAGAATTGCTCTGACATTGTTATTACAGGTTTTAGCCAAAGCTGTGTTCAGGAAAGCCTTATTATTGTAGCTGGCAGAGGCTGCTGGAGTTATTTTTACCACTTGATTGCAGAATCCTCAGTTTTAGGATCGCCGCAACTTTTCACTTGATGCAAATTCACTTAATGCAAGCCTAAGCTAAAGGGCTGCTGTGCCTCTCTGTCAGCAGCCAGAGGATTAAAGCAAACCAAGCAAATGATGTGCACACCCGGGTCCCATGCTTGCAGTGCCAGCGGGGTGGACTGGGACAGTTTCCTGAAGAGCGGGAGGACACAATAGCCAGCCGGCCAGCCCTGGAAAGCACGGATCTAACTGGAAGGGTGGATGCTATCAAAACACCCTTCGGACAAGAAACGTGATCCCAGGGATGCGTGAGGTACCAGGGGAAGATAAAGCAGCAGCTTGTGCAATAGCAGAGGAGAAAGAAAAGGTTGCCAGTAGCTCTTCGTTCCCTAGAGTTAAAGGGGAGAGGTTTCTGGCGCCAGTTCGAAGAAGCGTTTGCAAAGGCAGATGTAAAACTTGGGGAATTCCACCACCTAGTTAGCTGAACCAACAAAAGTTGGCTTTGATGAAGCCTAGAGAGGCATTTTCTGCAGTGTTTTCAAGTTTTGACAAATGCGGCCTCCTAGGTCAACCGAAGACACAAGGCAGATGTTAGCCTCCCGCATGAGCTGTAAGAACATGCTTACGCTGTTCTTCAGAGAACTGCGGGGAACCAGGGACACATGGGAGTGCACAGCCATATTTAATGTATGGAGTCAGTCAGGGACGTTTTAGAAAATGGAGGTTTGTCTGGAAAATTCGGCTCTAAATGTTCTTGCCAAAAAGCTTATCTTTCAATTGTGTTAATTCAGTTACTCACTCGTAGGGTTTCAGTTTTTCCCTTCTTCAACAATGCCAGTGATTCCCTGTCTGTAAAACAATCTTCACAACTTTTATTTACATAGGAGGGCTTTCCCTGTGGCTCTTGAGCAGGGTTAAAAATCCGGTATGTTTAAAAAGCCAGAGGAAAAGAGAAAAAATTAATTTTTTTATTTGTGTCAATATTTGGCCTTGATATTTTTGCATTGGTAACAGCTAGCTTTGTAGTTTTTGGAAGAGGGGTATATTGAAACAGCTAGTGCTTGTCACCGCAGTACGCAGCTACGGAATGGAAAAGGTCTGCTTTCTGTTTGGTTACTTTTCAAACAAGAATCCCTATGACTGGTTTTGGGTAGTGCTACTGTCCTAAAAGCTTATCTGGATTAACCTTCTATTAGTTTTGGATCTGGGCTGATTAAACGCAATTCTACCCTATGTCACAGCCAGACATGTAGCTCGGTGGGTGATGCTGGCATCTGATATCCACCATCCAAAAGCCATACCGACTCCCAGACAAAGTTGTCATCTCCTAAATGTCACCTTGCTCTGGGAACATTTTCCTCTGGAGCGCTCTTGCGGTGTCCAAGTCCGCATGTGTCGGTACCATGTTCGGGAGCCAAGTGATGCGGTGCCAGGTTGGCTGTAAGAGCCAGCCCCCCGCTGCACGGGGGCCAGGCGATTATCTGGCTGTCAACGGTTTCATTAGTAGAAGTCCTCTGCTCTGCAGGGGTATACATCTCTTGGTCCTGGAGTAGTCTGAAAATGTTTTCACATAGCAGCTGAGATGTCAGCACAGATTAGAGGTACTATCTTTTTAAGAAGTTGTTTTTTTGAAGGCTTATAGTTTAAGGCACGCTCACGTTTGGGGGGGGAATCATTCTGAGCATAATCTACTCCTCAGAGCAAACTAAAAAATCCACCATTTTCCAGGACTAGCAATTTTGTGGCCATTTGGCTCAGAAGTCCTCCATAAGTTGATGAACTTTACAGCTAGAAAGTTAGGCTTTCATTCACTCTCATCTACAAGGCTGGGCCCGTCCTCATCAGGAATTTTACATGTTGACTATTTCAGTAAATGTAGCTTTTAATCTGCCACACATGATTAGACACTAATTGTGTTCATAGCTGGAAATACCACAGAAGCCGTTGGCACGAAGTAGAGATTAGTCATACTATCAATTTGTTTTCTATTAAGCTTCAGGATTCATAGAAATGAAGAACCACAGAGATTTCAGCAGAGAAGATACATGGAGGTAAATGAGCATTTCTGCAAATTCAACTGTGTCTTAGAGCCATGGGTTTTGTGCAAATCAAAGTCATAAGAGCAAAGCTTGTGTCCTCAAGAAAGTTGCATGCAAGAATCTTTCCTCCAGCTTGACAGAGAGTGATAAGCCATTTTGTCAAACCCAACTTTAAAACCCGACTTTAATGGTTAAAGTACAGTTCTTACACAAAAGCTAGGAGTTTTTGAGCCTGCCACATTTCAGAAAAAAGCAGCTACCTTTTCTGATTACCTGTTTTTTTTTAATTAGATGACTTAATTTCCATTTCTTAATGAGATAAAGATGCAATCTTGCATTTATGCAAGCCAAAAATGTTCCATTGTATAACATGAGATTACAGGGAGCTAGCAGGAATTGAGGCGTCAAGAGGTGGTTGCAGGCAGGGGAGGAGAGGTCATGGCTGAACACCAAGAAGACAAAGTGTTGAAGGCACAGAAATGGAAGAGTCTTTGTGGCACAACAGAAAAGTTGTATGGCAAAGGAGAAAAGGCCAATGTAAGATAAATGAACTCTGCTTTTTGTAGGTGGTAAATATGCCATTAAAGCATATATGAAAGGGAACTTTAAAATGCATCATGCCACATGAAGTTTTTAGCAAAAGTCATTGATGAAAGCAGAATTTGTCCAAGACCCTTCAGATCTAGTGCATTCTTCTCCTCTGTACCCTCACCTGTTTGCTATGAGAAGTCCGATCTGTGAAAGCAGTATCTTAAGTGTTCATCACTCATCCTCTGGCATATTTGCCATCTCTGTTGCAAACAGCAGGGATGGATTAAGACAGTAATACAGCCCAGAGCCGCTGCAGTTTCTTGAATGCTCACGCAGACTCCTTCTGTATCTTCTTACTCACGATGCTTTTGATCGTGTTTCCAGCGAGCAGCCGCGCTCCTGCCCGAGACATTGTTCTGCTGCCTGCTAAAAGCTGACGCCTGCTACTGCGCCTCCTCGAGGCATCTGGGCACCAAATACCAAGAAAATCCTGCCTTTATCTGCTCTTGGCAACTGGGTCTTGCCAGTAACTGTGACTTAGTCGAGGAAAAAGGAGTAAAATCTAAGAGATTAAGCAACAAGAGCATCACTCAACACCGGGATACCAGCCACCGAAGGAAAGGCGCCCCATCTGCAGTCTGTGCAAGCCGAATTGTCTGAGTATGGTTTAGTCCTCCAAGCGTGAAACTGAGTCACGACTTTGTCAGTGAGTGCTCTGGCTACAGCTACATGGTTTCAGGATAAATATCGTTCAGCGTGAAGGCTGGGCTAGGAGTTTACTAACAGGCAGGCAAGGAGCCCTCCAGAACGCATAGCAAATCAGGCACAGTTCTCTTCCTGGGCTGCGGTAACGTATCTCCTTCCCTTCTGCCCTTGCCTCAAGTGTACATATCTCAGTTTGGGAGTATGCTTTTAGGACATCCTCAGAGACCGAGGGAACATAAGGCCACCCTCTGAAACATCTCAGAAATCCCAACCCTGAAAGGCTGCATGGTGCTGTGTGTCGGCCAGCCGTGGCTCCGCCGCTCCAAAGCGCTCCCTGAAGACAAGAAGAATTAGTATCGCATGAGGTAATACTGCTGCTTAAAAAGCAAATGGCTTGAGAAAGCCAGTGGTGGTTACCGAAAGGAACTGTAAAGGGGCACAATGTCCTTTGGAAATGCTGGTCAAGGGATATGGCCCAACAACTTTAAAGAAACCATTTCGTTTTGGGAACTTTCTTTACTTCTTAGGGCATAAATATGAGGCTCTGTAGCCAAATATCCCAGCTGACTTCCCCCAGCTCTGTTAAAATCAGGTTCCCAATAGCCTTTTTAGGGAAGAAAAAGGCAAAATATCTCCCTGGCCTACATCAGTGGTGATTTCATGTAGGTTCATAAAGATCACTTCATTACAGAGCTAACTTCAGACTCAGTACTTGCTGAGTTCAAACACATATTCATGTGTAATTGTTCACGTTAAAAGGACTGTGGTCTTTTCTTTATATATTTATTTTAATAGCATGTCGTGGGAAGTAAGCTAAGGCTGTAAGGACACTTGCATGTTAGGGCAGTTCCTGCTCTTGCCACTGCCTCTCTTACCTCTTTGAAGAAAAAAACTAGAAGCCGAGCGGGAGGTTTACCTCAGGAGGAAGGAGGAAGACAGTCAGAGAAGGAGAAATTTGTAGGAAAGAGATCAAGAAGTGGAATCCTTTAAGCTTCAACCCTGTCTCCAGAGATCTCGGGTGTCGCTCCTGACTGGGACTTTCAATACACGACCCATTTCGTAGCTTTGGGTCAGGCCAGGTGACTTTCTCTACAAGTCACCTGAAATCATTGCTGTCTCCAGCCGATCGTGTTTCAGAAGCCGGTGATGGCCAGGAGGAAAACAGAGGGAATTAAATTGTGTGTAATCCCCCGCCTTACTGCTGCTCAGAGATCCAGATCGCATCGTGGGGACAAGTCACTTATTAGCTCTTTTGACTTAAAGGTAGCCTACGGCAGCTCCAAAGGCAGGCAGTCTGCAGCGTTAAGAGCGATTGAAATAGTTCGTGTGCGCACACCCTTGTGCGAGGAACTCTTTGGCATAAAAGGTCCCACAAGAGCACTAGGGGCTGTTAGGCCCGTACAACGAAAAGTTACTCTGTTCAGCTTCTAGCTTGGGTGTAAAAAGTAATTCAGGGTGCCAAAACAGTGTTTTTACTTATCCGAAACAGATTTTTTTACTTGGTCACTCAGATTGGATATGGGAGTCCGGGTTGAACTTTTCCTCTCCCTGATTCAAACCAGCAATTTTTTCTTAAACAAAACCCAGACTGTCTGGGCACTCACAAGGGTTACTTTGTGGTAGTTAAGGATTTGGGGAAACGGGTCTCTCTCCCTCCTGGCTGGATGCCATACCGAGTTCTTCAGCATCTAAAGCTGTGGGGCTGGTGGGCAGCGCGCTTTCCTGTGGGGAGGGTGCTCCTCCCGCTCCAGCCTGTACGTGTTTCTTCTTGCCTCTCTCGAGCTATCACATAGCCCCATGATCACGTTATTTCCCTGGGCTGTGTGATATGAATTTAATCCCCGGAGGCAGAGAGGAAGACTGAATCTGGTTTCCCACCGCCCGTGTGTATTCCCTCACCAGCAGGCTATTCAGGGAAAGGCAACTGCTACCTCTAACTGCTTTAATAATCCTTTGATTCCTCAGCTTGTACTGCCAGTGCCCAAAATGAAATGCTTTGCCATTTGTTTTGCCTGAAAATATTCCACAAAACTGCTTCCAATTTATGAATGGATTTGGCTACCTCAAAACCTCGTTTTTAGCAAAGTCGCAACTTGCCAAAAACCCTCACCCAGTGCTATTCTTGAGGGCTTTGCCCAATCTTATGTTTCAGAAGCGGTGCCTGTGTACAGTGTGGTTGCTACGACCTTCCCTCCAAGCCCTCTCCTCCCTCAGTCAAAACAGGAAGGCAGGAGAGGAGCTGTGGCCAAGGCCCCTTGACCTTCCAGGGAGACAGCAAGTATTTATGTGGAGGCACTGGGCTGATGATCTTAGCTGTGTTGACAGGGATGAGTTATAAAGTGAGGCGGGCATAAGTGCAGTTTTAACGAGGCATAGGATTTCCAGGGTTTAGGTGTGTTTTTAGC